TATATATATATATATTTTATTACCAGTTTACATTTAAATCCTATGTTATTACCATTAGCAAATTTAACTTTCTTATTTCCAACTTAATCGTTGCGCTTTTTTTAATGTCCATTTCTTAATTTGCAAACAAGCATGAATAGGTGATCATTTAACACCACAATTGCAAATACGTTCCTTTATTTTATTTGTTTGCATATTTCATTTTTCATCAATTTGCAAAAATGTATAGTTTTCACACCAAAAAAAAAAAAAAAATTGGATTACTTTTTTTTTTTTTTTTTTTTTCTCACTCTTTCTAATTATATCTTGCATTCAGAAAGTATTTATATTATTATTTATATTGTAATACAATAGCTACTACTAACTAATCATAATTTCATATTAAATAATATTTTATTGAAAACTTTTTTTTCACACTATTTTTTTTAAAATACTATATCTTTTTTTTTTTTTGCAGTTCATTAAGTTTTTTTTTTATTAAAATAAATTATATTTTAATGACATAACAATACTCCTTGAAATTTTGTACACAATTTTTATAATAATAATAATCTAATATTAATTTATCTAATCAAGTTTTCATGATCAATCAAGATTGTAAAAGTTATATTACTGTAATTAATATAAAAATTAATATATAAGTTAATAAATTTACATTTATATTATTAATTTTTACTAATAATAAAATCTATAAAATATGATATAGTCATATGATATAACATATAAAATTTTATTTGCTACTAATTTATATTGATTGATGAAAATTTAAAAGTCTAAAAAACTTTTGTCTAAAAAAAGAAAAAATTATCCTGTTGTTGTTTAGTTTAGTTGGGTTGTTTTTTTATTCTAGCGTTGCTAGACCGGACTAGGCGGTCTTCTGACATGTCCTCCTCGTTGGCTGCTTGTATTGCACTTTGTGCACTTTTAATTTATAATGTTATCTATTGTGTCGAGAAAAAAAANNNNAAAAAAAAAAAAAAAAAAAAAAAAAATCAGCGATAAAAGAAAAAAAAAACACCCCACGTTATCGCGTGTCGGTAATCATTACGCCCATCTAATTACATTTTTTCACCCACTCACATGCCTTTACCTAATTTCCCCAATTTTTTTTCCATCTCCCACATTTTTCACATCTCCACTCGCCGCCGCAAAATGGTACCTTCCTGCTCGCCGGAAACCCAAACCCTCAAAAAACCGCCGCCCAAAAACACCAATCCCCTGAGAAACGCGCTCAACACCGTCAAGATCCACATTAGCTCGCACCCACGATTCTGGCTCTTCATCACCTTCCTATGGGTCCAGGCCCTCATTATCTCCATCGTCCGCACCCCGCCGCCCTGCTTCCCCGACCGCTCCGCACCCGTCGCCATTTCCGCCGCAGTCGCCCCTGTCCGCTACCTCCCTCTACCCAACGACGCCGTGCCAACCAACGCCACCAAACCCCTGCCCCTGCCCCAATCTCCCGCCCCTCCCTACACCGATGAATGCCCCTCCGGCAGGATCTACGCCTACGACCTCCCCGCCGCCTTCAACCGGGATCTGGTCCTCCCCGACTGCACGGACCTCGACCCCTGGAACTGGGAGTGCGGCATCATCTCCAACCATGGCTACGGCCGCAACGCCGCCGAGCTCCGTCGCCTCCTTCCCGGAGACCTCCACAGGTCCTGGTACCACACTAACCAGTTCACCTCCGAGGTCATCTTCCACCACCGTGTACTCCGGCACAGGTGCCGGACCACGTCGCCGGAGTCCGCCACCGCGTTCTACATCCCGTTCTACGCCGGCCTCGCTGTGGGGAAGCACCTCTGGTCGAACGACACCTCCGGACGCGACCGCCACTGCAAGATGATGCTCCGGTGGGTCCGGAACCAGACCCACTGGAGGAGATCCAACGGCTCTGACCACTTCATGACGATCGGCCGGATCACTTGGGACTTCCGGCGTCTGACAGACCCAGGCAGGTCGTGGGGCTCCAGCTTCCTCAACATGCCCTTGATGCAGAAGGTCACTCGCCTCATCGTGGAGAAATACCCCGGAGACGAGATGGACGTTACTGTGCCCTACCCTACTGGATTCCACCCCAAGACAAAGGACGATCTCGCCGAGTGGCAGGATTTCATCCGTGCCCGCGAAAGGCCCAGCCTCTTCACTTTAATCAAGGAAACAAATGGCGAATGGGCGGCAAACGACTTTCGTGCCCAGCTGATGGGCTACTGTAAGAAGGAGCCGAGTTTATGCTGGGCCGTCGATTGCGCCTTGACTGAGTGCCCGACTAACTCATCCGTGATTCTGAGTGCGCTTTTAGGATCTGAGTTTTGTCTGCAGCCGAAAAGGGAAAGTTTCACGAGTCAGGCAATTTTCGATTGCATGGTGGCCGGCTCGATTCCTGTATTTTTTACAAAGACATCTTATGAGCAATATGAGTGGTACTTGCCTGGTGATCCGGATAGCTTCTCGGTTTTCATTGACCAAGAGGGGGTGAGGAACGGGACGGTGTCTGTAAAGCAAGTGTTGTCGGGCTATAACAAAGAGGAGATACGAAAGAAGAGGGAGAAAGTGGTAGAGACTATACCAAGGATAATTTACGCCAAACCGAATGGGGGTATCAAGAGTTTTAAGGATGCGTTTGATATTGCCCTTGACGGGGTTATGGAGAGGATTAAGGAGGAAAAAGAATGGGCCGATTTCTTGAGATGAAAATACAAATGTTTGTCGAGAGGGCAAACATAAGATTCAACATAAGTTACAGTTATCGTGAATGTGTTCGTGTGAGAAATTTGTGGAATTGATCGGGTTGATACAAGAATTTATCCAGAAAACTGGGAGATGTTTTGTTTTTTTCACTTGTATTTGGAATGAGAGGATTTGATTGTACTCACATTCGAGGATAGCAAAGATTTTCTATAAGTGTGCACTATGTTGTAATACCAGCACCAGTAAGCTGGCTGTATCCCCTTCCAAACACAGCTAAAAACAATTCATTTATCATAATCTGTCCTATATGGATATTTTTCTTGGGGAGATCTTTCTCTTGGGGTGATGTTGCAGTCCCGTTACGGAATCATTCTGTCAGAGTACGTAACTGTTAGATCATCATGTAACCATCGAGGATAGTTGATCTATCGGTTACAAACCCCGACAGAATGATTCTGTAACGGGATCGTAACATTTCCCCTTTTTCTTGTTTCTGTCAGTTTTTGGTTAACAGCCTTTTTTTTTTTTTTTTTTAAATTTCCTGAAATGACTTTTGTTTTCTAATAGAAGTTTTCTGAGCATTAATTTTGCTATTCAAATGCTTTGACATACCAAAGAAAATTGAATTTGTGAAGAACAAAACAATGTTAAAATGCAACACTGCACAGAGAATCCCCTGTAAGCATTCCTGGGGAATTAAAAGAGTTGGCCAACAGGGAACAACATATGCAAAACAGACAACAGTGGGCAGTAGCAGCAATTTTGGAAGAATTAAACAGAACTACCACAATAAAGCACAAACAACAACCCAACAGAACAGCAGAACTCAAAACCAGGAAAACGAGCGATATTATACTTACGAAAAGTATTTACCACCGTATCAATTTTGTACCATCAATCAGACACTATGTTTTTCCCACCAGGGAAATACAATCAACATCCTGGCCATGTTATTTACCGAAACCGTGTCAAAAGAAATGTATCATATTCACAGTACATCTGTACGGCATGAATTGCTAAACGATACACGGTTATATGTGCAACAAATAAAACTATACCTTGACAGAATTAAAGCATCCATATATGCACCGACAGGAGGAAAAAAAGAGAACGAAATGTGGTCCAGCGACCATAAAACTGTTAGCCAAAGTGAATCTAAATCCAAAAAAAGAAAATCCTATTATTTTTTGTCCAAAATCTCCACTTTGCTCTTCACGAGTGCCAACTTTTCTGTAGCTTTTCAACCCCAATGCACTTTCTTTAACCGTTTGCTGCGTCTCCTGACTCCATCATCACCTACAATCAGCACACCCTTTTTCTTCGGATCCTCGGCTGGCTTGCCTTTGACATGGCTGCTAGATACTTGTTTTCCTTTTCCTAAATCCTTTCCTCCGGCCACAGTCAGCTTTCCCTTTCCCTTTCCTTTCCCCTTCACAAGTTTCTTCAATTCAGCGATATCCTTTGTGATGAGATCCATAGGTTGCAGCACATAGAAGTCCTCATCAACGTCATTCTCGGCCTGATCAAGATGTAATAGAAAGTTGAAGTATATCCTCATTATTATTATTATTATTATTAGGCAATGGACAAATACAATACTCACATTTGCTTCCATCTCCTTGTACTGAAGTCCTAACTGCACGATTGTGACCAGAGCTGTTGGTGGAACCAAATTGCCATCAAATGGGAACTTGTCGGTGCCAGCCTCAAAGCGGAAGTTAAAAGCAGAATGCGTAAACCCTTAAAAGGAGGGAAAAAAAAAAGAGAAAAAGATCATGAGAAAGTCATATAAGAAGCACACACAGAAACACAGAGACTATGGACCGACTCGAACTGATAGACATATTGATAACGATACTTCCATTTGAATCAGTTTTACCAGAACAAACATAACAAAATATAGCATGTATTAGCCATTTTTTCTAACTAACCTACGAAGAAGGGAAAACAAACATTTCTGGAGACATGTGAAACCAACTAATTTAGGAACTTTGACGCTGGACATGAAACTTAGCCAACAAAGGTTCTAAAGAGTTGAACAGTAAATAGTAATTATTTCTGGGAAGTATAAGTGGTATGACCGTTTCATATAACAAGATGGTTACCAAGTCTGAACCAATTATAGACAAAAAATCATTAAAGTAGTTGAGTTCAAAGCATTGATGGTTTTTGGCATATATCAGAATTCAGATGGATAGTAATAAATGCTCAAGGTAAAACTTTACAGAAGTCAAAAATCAAAGTTAGCTTACAATCTCTGGCAACTACAGATTTAATTTAATCTTCCCAACATTAAGGTGACACTTTCTTTAGAGGTTCAATTTCTCTCCGTATTCCTATTTTAAGTAGGGTGTTCTGGTTTTCTTGCCTTGGCTACTGTTTTTGCTGTTAAGGCTCTTCTCGCTACCCAAGCCACGCCGTATGTAAATATGTGATTCTACCACACTAACGTTGAGTGACAATAAACATCAAGTGCCCACATAAATACACAGTTAAAGAACCAACAGTTAAAAGTACCTCACAGATGTTGACTAATCTGAGAATGATACAGCTAAAATAAAATCCAACTTGATTCTTATGGGCTAAAATTAAAAGAAAGGGTAGGGAAGTAAGAATACACTCGATTTGTTTTCAATGACCGTTCCACAGCTTAATTAAACAGATCTTATCTACGTAATGAAATGTGCAAGAGACCAAAGATGAAGAAACAGAATGTTTCTTGCAGCAACCTTGTCCAACTTCCAGTTAGAAAAAAATTCATATCCAATACCATATTTTAAAGCCCAACTCGTAAAAGTAATTTGATTATTGCTTCTCATTGAAATACTTCAATTCTAATGTATTCTTAGTGTAACAACTAAATTTGATTAAGAGAAATAACACAAAGGAACTAGGTTTTAAAACAAGAACCAAGCAGAGTTGATTGTCATAGAACAAAATTTGAACCCATGATGGATTTCACTATGTATGACAATTACCAAAAGCTCAGATACCAGTAAGATTGTTTCTACAAACTTATATCATATTGATTTCTACATTAATGCAAAACATGGCTCGGTGACTCTTTATACTCATACAACATATAAAATCAATTCACCTTGTATAAATCAGTTAAATATAAACCACATCATCAAGATTCTGTCCAAATGAATACATGGCACTAAAACTTTCTAAAACCAAAATCAGTATCAAGAATAGCCAATAAGATCAGAGGACTGAATTATGAAAGAAAACACTTACATGAACTCACCCGTACACGCACGCATGCACACGCACACACACACAGAGAGTTCACACGCAGAAGGTCATGAACTCTTAAGAAATTGAACCCTCATATTTAACTCTAACAAATTGAATATATGCAGAAGTCCATCAAAGTATTTCATTGATTCTGTTCAAACTTTGAAAAGGGAAAAGATAAGTCCGTCAATATCCTAATAAACCCCTCAAGAAGCTTCACTTTCTGAAATCAGTAAGTTCTTTGACACGAACAATACGCAGATAACCAGAGATACACACTTAACATTGCCAATAGCAGTGCAAGAACCCTATACTTCACTCGGCAAGAGAATATAAAACGCACAAACATGAATCCGACTATCCATCATACTTCCTTTTTCCCTCAAACAAGAACCATTCACAACCCCAAACGCCAATTGGTCACAACAGCCAAATGAATGTTCACTTACACAAACACTTCAAAACGTCAAAAATCATTACAAAGAACAAATGAAAATTCAAGACAGCGCACGAACAAGAACAAGATATAATCTGCCGAGAAGAAGTTTGAGAAATCACAGTCGAAACATACGCGTATGAACTATACAAGCGAGAAAAAGAAGAACCTGATTCCTGAAGATAGCGGTAGACGATGCAATTCAACACGTCGGCGGTAAGGGAAGCCATTGTTCAGTAAGGATTTCTCCGTATAAGCGGAATCTCCGGCAATTTCTTCAGTCTGAGTCCCGGCGGCAACTCCTTAACGGCGAAATGCACTGCGAACTTCCTGCACTTATTAATCGATAGTCCCATGGCGAACTATATATATATGCGTGTATATATCTGGGCATATTTCAAGCGGTTAGTCACAGAGGCTTGAGTTAAGAAACGAACGGCGCGTGACCGGGCGTCGCCTGCTGCTTGCAGTTGCAGACTGTGAAGTAGAGAGAACAAATGTGGCCTAATGGGTTGAAAACAATATCTCTCACGGGTTTGGATACATGGGCTTATTGCTAGTCCATTTACATCAGCCCAGCATTTAAGCCCAGTTATGTAGGCAATAAAAGAAGGGAAATTAAAAGGCTAAAAGCCTAAAAGACGTATAGACCGAATAAAAATTACAATTACAACAATGTCATTTTAATGAGGAAAAATGTTGAGGTCCCATTACGGAATCATTCCGTCGGGGTTTATAACCGTTAGATCATCATGTAACCGTTAGAGATAGTTAATTTAACGATTACAAATTCCGACGGGATGATTCCATAACAGAACAGTAGCATCTTTCTTTAATGAGACACAAGTTTGTATTACATAATGACGAGATATATAAAATTCTTACACCAAAAGACCAACTATCCATCAGAATGGAAACAATTAATACAACAATACTTCATGATTACCATAAAATAATAGAGAAAAAAAAATCCTACACCACGATTACCATAAAATAATAGAGAAAAAAAAAAATCCTACACCACAAATAAACAAAAGGGTTTATTGCTAAATAAACATTAACCTTTTTGCGTTTGACAATTTTATCTCAATCTTTGAGTAATTGCAATGTAATCTCGACCTCAATTTACTTATTGCAAGTCGAACCTAAAACCGGTTGGACCTTCAAAAAACTGGTCGATATGAAAGCGGTTCGAACAGATCGGAGCTCATATTTACCAGTTCACTCCCGATCTAAGAGGAAACTCATCACCGGTAGCTTACATTGACGTGGAATTTTCGGCTTTGTGCGTGGATATACTTTGAATACGTGGAAATTGTCAACTTGC